CGCGTTTCGACCTTGCTTAAGGGTCCTCATCAGGCATGTTTAGAATTTCTTAATTACATGCAAGTCTTAACTCACTTAAAATAAATTAAGGTAGTTAAGGCTTAAACGTAATTAGATAAAGACCTCAATTATATGATTAAATTTATAAAGAAAGAATTGAGTGTATTGGTGTGGAGTGTCGGTGTGTGGGTGTGGGTCTGTCAAGCTACCATGATCGATTTCGACCTTGCTCAAGGGTCTTATCAAATGGCTTAAACCAATCTGGATTCGAATAAAACCGAAGTAGTCCACAAAATTTCATTGTTATTTCGAAAAGTAATAGAAATTTCGTTCGACAGTAGTGTGTCAAGCAACCATGGTGTCGGTAGCTATAAACGTTTCTTTTTCACAATTTTGTTTCACACTACTATCCATTGTAGTATTTTTTTTAGTTTAGGAGCCTTGAGTTTTCGATATATATTTGCATTTGATATTCTTCACTGCTTTTCTTTTAAAGATACTGACATCTAAAGAGAGAAATTCTAGAGACTTAAATCAATTATTATGTTTTAGTGTCCTTATCAATTATTTATCTACTTATAATTAACTCAACTAAAACAAATATATACGGAAATTAAATAAAACAAAAGCATGAAAAAAATTATCATGAAAAAAGTCAGATGAACCTTTAAATATATATCATTGCTTTGGGAATAATGAAGTTGATATGCTTATATTCCAAAACATAAAAAGTAATAGAAACAATAGTATAGTAATATTTCTCATACATTTAAAAATATATTACTTTCAGATTAAGAGAAGATGGATCCAACTAGTTTCTGTCTAAATTATATAAATATATATATACAAATTCTTTTATTTTAATAACCTTGAAAGCAAAATAAACATCATTCGAATAGTAAAATGCAATCGTATAAATAATAAAAGACACAACAACTGATTGAATACGATAAAAAAATGCAAACAAACAACAAATAACCTTATTCAATACCTTATCTGACAATTCATTTAGAGAATATTTTGTTTCTTGCTCTCTTCTCCACTAAAATCACCTGAAACTCATAATATCTCTAAAGAGTCGTTGATCCTGCTCTACCAGATGGTACAGCCACTACGCACAACTATCTTATTCTACATGCAATCAATAAAATAAAATAAATAAAGTCGATGAACTCTCACATTCAGGGAACCCCATGGACAGAAGAGAATAATCATTTGAACGCCTCAAGGACTTCTATTTCCTCTGGGTAATGTCATCCATAGGGTACGCCAATATTGTTGAATATCAACGCCGTGATTAAAAGAACTAAAAAAAAAAATAAACGTTAGAGTCTAAGACCATCTTTATTGAAACGATATTCTACTTTTTGAGATAATTTTTATTTTAATTAATATGATGTGGAAAGAGATTTCCAAAATGAAATTTATTTGTTGACGAAGCGAAAAACAAGAGACAAAACAATCTTAGAAAGAAACCAACTGATCTGTATTAATATTGAAGATGTTATCATCGAAAAATAAGTACCAAAATAAACAGAAAAATAAATTATAAAAAGAAGCATGAAAGACTATACCATTACTTACTTATATTAATCCTTCAAAATGAACCGGAGACGCCAGAAAAAAAAGCAGAGTCTTTAAACACCTGTTCAAGAGAAAAATGAACAACAGAAAATTATTGTCTTATGAAATAAAAAATTCTATGATAACAAACTTTCTTTACTTATTTCACTAGGCTCTCGAAGTCATGTGCATGACACTGCAAAAAAAAACCAACATTCCAAATAAGACAACACAATTATGTAAGCGAAGCCGAACATTCCATCAAATAAACAGGGCTTTGTTTCAATAAAGCGAATAGATATTCCATAAGTAAAAACCGATAAAAAATAAGGGTAGCGGTGTGGCTGGGTGTGGGTGTGGGTGTGGGTGTGGGTGTGGGTGTGGGTGTGGGTATGGGGTGTGAGTGTGGGTGTCTGTGAGTGAAGCGGAGAAGAACCTCCCACACCCACACCAACACCCATACTTATACCCACCCACACCCACATCCACACTCACACTCACACCCACACCCAGCCTATACTTATTTATTTTTTGGACAATATCGTGAACTAGTGAAAAATTTCACGAAAAAGAGTGAATTTTTTGGCAGGTAAACTTAGAGAAAACTTTTTCTGCCATCATAATAACTTATGTTTTATTGAACTTTCTCTGAGAATAGATATCGAGAACAAGCAATCTTAATATGGCATGGATCCGAATATCAATTTCATACATTGTTCCATAAAAGTACTGTTAGGACAGCACATAGTCGAAGTGCCACGACAATATCTATTGGATCGATAGTAGGGGTGTGAATTTATTGTTATTGTTATTAATAACAATAACAAAAAAGTTATTGTTATTGATAACAATAACTTTTTTGTTATTTGTTATTAATAACAAAAAAATAACAAATAACTTTTTTTTCTGAAAAACCTCTAACTAGGAGTGGGAAGTTACTTTTACGTTCCCAGCTAACGCCTAAGCCTTAGGTCCTCAACTCCTACTATTGGGGGTACCCTTGGATCCTCAAGTCTTACTATTGGGAGGTACCCTTGGGCCCTCAAGTTCTACTATTGGGGGGTACCTTTAGGTCCTCAAGTTCTATTATTGGAAGGTACCCTTGAGTCCTCAAATCCTACTATTGAGGAGTACCCTTAGGTCCTCAAATCCTACTATTAAAAGGATACCCTTGGGTTCTCAACTCCGACTATTAGGGGACACCCTTGAGTCCTCAACTCCTACTATTGGGGAGTACCCTTGGGTCCTCAAGTCCTACTATTGGAGGTACTCTTAGGTCCTCAAGTTCTACTATTGGGAGTACCCTTGAATCTTCAGGTGCTTTCACAAGGACATCTTTGAGTTCTGTAGTTCTGTTGTTTTGGGCACTAGATGTCCGACATTGCCGTAACTGTTACTAGGTTGTTAGTGGCAGCGTATTTATTCGTTGACGATTAACAGTAAGGCCGGTATTTTTTTGTTACTTGATAAATATAGCCCCCCCCCCCCGCCCACACACACACAATAGAAGCTCAGGGGGGTGCCTGTGTTCGGCAAGCTATAACTTGGTAACAAAGCTTGTCCTGATGCCTATTTTTTCGTTATTTAGTAGAGAAATGTTCATTCTTTCGTTTTCCATCGATTTGAATTCATTTTTTATAAAGTAAACCTCGATTTTCAATGAAGAATTCTAACCCAAGGGGTGGGCTTCTATTGTGTGTGGGAGGGGGGGAGGGTTTACTGCTTGTTTCAGTGCTATTACCGTAACCGACGGGCTACGTGTGAGCCTGGCACGGCTATAATAGTGGATAATGCCAGGGTGGCCGGGGTGGGCATCGGTAGTGATAAGGAGCAACTCATCGGATTACAGGAAGATCTCCACTGGCTATCGTATAAAGTTTCGCCAGTCTTTAATCCTGTTGCATTCTGCGTTCCCAATTCTTTTTAAGCGCTATGTTATAGAAGAACTCGGATTAGGGAAGGTGCTATCCGATGAAGTAGCCGCAACTTTTCCAGGACTTCCGGATTAAGAGCATTGTTATTGGATAGATTTTCTTTGCACTAGCAACTGTGCATGAGAACGCGTTGTCAGATTAGTCTGTAGGTGGTTACGAGTAAGCACAGTTCTACATCTTCATTTTTCATGGTTGGGACAGGTGTACTCAGAAACTAATTGTCAGACAACACGGTTCTCTTAATTACGATTACAATAACTTATCTGATCTGCTTCGGTCATACAGCTGATTGCTTAACGTGAGCCTGGCTATCACTGCAGCAGCCGGATGGTTCTGTGGGTATTGAAGTAAAAAAGCTAGCAGCCACACCCACACCCACCGGCAACATCTACATCCACACCCACATACCCACTGTCATATCTCCGTACCCACACCTACACTCGTTATTCACCCTACTTCCTATATTGGGCGTTCAGGGTCTAACGCTACCTCTTTCTAGTAGTACTTGAGAACCCAAGGGTACCCTCAATAGTAGGACTTCAGAACCAAAGGGCACTCCCAATAGTTGGACATGAGGATCCAAGGGTCCCGCAACAGTAGGACTGGAGGACCTAAGGGTATCTTTCAATAGTAGGACTTCAGGACGGAACGATGCCCCCAATACGACGACTTGAGGATCTAAGGGTACCCCACGATAGTAGGTCTTCAGAACCTGAGAGTACCTCCAATAGTAGGACTTCAGAACCTGAGAGTACCGCTCAATAGTAGGACTTGATGACCCAAGGATACCGCCGAATAATAGGACTTGAGGATCCAAGGGTACGCCCAATTGTAGGACTTGAGGACCTGAGGATACCCTTGAATAATAGGACTTGAGGACCTGAGGGTACCTGCCAATAATAGGACTTGGTGACCTTAGGGTACCTCCAATAGTAAGACTTGAGGACCTAACGGTACCCCAGAATAGTAGGACTTGAGGACCTAAGGGTACCCCCAATAGTAGAACTTGAGGACCTAAAGGTACCCCCGAATAATAGGACTTGAGGACCTAAGGATACCCCTCAATAGTAGGACTTGAGGCCCCAGGGGCACCCCCAATAGTAGGAGTTGAGGACCTAAGGCTTAGGGGCTAGCTGGGAACGTAAAAGTAACTTTCCACTCCTAGTTAGAGATTTTTCAGAAAAAAAAAGTTATTTGTTATTTTTTTGTTATTAATAACAAATAACAAAAAAAGTTATTGTTATTGTTATTGTTATTAATAACAACCGAATAACAATAACTTCTCACCCCTAATCGACAGTCCATTTTCATGATTTGGAAATTAGCTATATCAAGAAAGGTACTCTTGAAAGTAAAGTTTATTACGATCCAAATATTGTTGATGCTTTACCAAATGTATCCAATGAACTAATGGAAAATGCCACCAAACAATTATATGCTGTTCTATATCAAGCCGTTCGATGCTGTTTTGATGTGGAAAAATTCCATAGTGAACTACTTTATATTCAGGTATCATTTGTAACATTTGGTTTTACATCAGAATTTATTCATTCTGGTATTCAACGTTTTTACCAACAATTTAATATACTAGAAAAATTCTGGGATTTACGTTTGAATAATAATGAATATTATCATTTACGTCGGTGTAGCATAGAAGATGTCGAACAACAAATAAAATTGAAGCAACAACGTGAGCAAGCAAAAGAACATACATTATTCATGCCATGCCCACGTTTAATGGATGAAGAAAGTACCGATGCTTTCAAACAATGTTTTGAATATTGGTGGAATAAATATTATGCTAATGAATCACCAACAAACTCTATTCAAATCAAATGGATAGAACAAACACCAACTTGTTTGACAAATAGTGATATTCTGATCAACAGACGACCACCTCTTCGTCTTTTAACTTTGTCAAAACATCATCGAAACAAAAAAAGTTCGTATTGCTTGATTTTTCTTCTTCTCTTTTCGTTATTGATTTATCTCTTATTGTTATTTTTCTTTCCTATAGGATACCATCCTATGGATCCATTTTTAACCAATATTACTCGTCCATACTACAAGGATGAATGAACATTGTGTGCTTTTTATACTTTACTCGTCGAAGTAGTTTGCTTGTAATAGAGTAGCAGTAGTATTGAATAGATGATTTGATAAATACAAGCCTTTTTCTTCATTCATATTTTATGATATAATAGAATATGGATTAGTTGTGCTCTATTCTAGATAGATATCTATTGGTAGATATTTGTTTAAAAGGAATACAATGGCTGATAAGCAGCGATATCCTTATGATCAAGAACATTGGTGGCGTGACTTTTTGCCTAATCAAGTACACAGACCATTCGATATCTTATCTTCTTTACCAAAACAGCAACAGCAACCACAACTAATAGCAACAAAACCAGAGAAGAAGAAGAAGAAGAAAAGTCGCGGCAATCGAGCCGAACGAAATTTTCAGCGAAGATTGCGCAATCCAAATTTGGATGATGAAACCAGGGCATTCTTAATACAAGCAAGAGCAGAAAGAAAACGAGAACAAGAAAAACAGCAAAGTATTCCTAATACTACAATAGAAGTAAACAAAATTAATCATCAAATCAGCCAAATGACAGAGGATACACAAATAATGGTAAGAATATATATTGGCTGACCATCTATAATAATCTTTATCGTATTATGATTTTATTATGATTAGGAGATTCCATTCGATGAGATCATTCCTAAGTCTAATCGAAAGAAACGTAAACGTTATACATCAACTAAAATTGGCAGACATCTCAGTCAATCTTTCAGTCGATTGTCGATTTCACAAGAATGTTCCAAGAAACAGAAGATTAAAAATATTCAAACCAACAATATTGCACTACAAATGATCGACGATCTGAATGATGAAACAAAATTATCAGTCCAAATGTTCAAGTCTACTTTTGTACCTCAATATTTAACAGTATCCGATCGGAAATTTAAAGATATATTATCAAAAGCAGTCCCTGATGGCCATAAAATTTATGAATGGTTAGATAATGCTGAAAAGTTAAAATCTACACGTCAATTAGCTCATACCTTTAATATGATGTATTATTTTAAATTACAACAAGAATTATGGAAAGATTATTTCGATCTGGGTATGACTGAGGGTATTTGGGCTCCACGAATACTGAAATCGGCAGCAAAACAACATTATACTTGTGTAT